ATTTTTGGATCTAAATACCCTTTCATTGTGTTAGCCTAAAATTGAAATCGCAACACTGATTAAATTTTAACAACAACAACAATAAAAATAAGCTTTTCTCCTACTAGGTAAGGTCGGCTATATGGATCATATCACCATCGTGTTCGACCGGTGTATAAATTATCGGACAAATTTAAATATTTCAAATCATTTTTAATAATCTCTTTCCATTTTTTTAAGGTCAACCCCTACCTCTTTTAATTTGAATTCTTGATTCTATAGTTTCTACCCTCCTAACCGGGCCTCTATCGTTCTCCTATGCACATGACCTAACCATTTCAAGTGATTTTCTCTCTTTTATTCGTCTATTGGAGCTATCCCTACTCTCTCTCTCTAATATAATCATTTCTAATTCTATCCAATCTAGTGTGCCTATACATCCATCTTAACATTCTCATCTCTGCTACTCGCATTTTTGCTCATTTTCATGTTTAGTAGTCCAGCACTCGGATCCATAAAACGTTCGAATGGCCGTTCTATAGAACTTACCCTTCAAACTTAGTGGTACCTTATGATAAAAAAAAGTATTGATAAAACGCTATGCCATTTGTTCCACCAGGTTTGAATTCGATGTGTTACATCTTTATCAGTACTTTCATTTTCATGTATAATTGATCCTAAATATTTAAAACTTTTAGATGTGTTCACTTTACATTCACTTTATAGCTTCCATTGATGATCTTTCAGGCATAAAGCTAAATTGATTTTCTAATATGTTTGTTTATTGCCTGAACCTAGTTTCTATTACCCTATAGTTAGCACAATTAATTCCCAATATGTTTGTTTATTCCCACAATTTCATTGTGTGACACATTAGTTGTATGTCCCTATAGTTAGCACAATTTTGTACATCTCCTTTATTTTTAAACAAAGGTATTAGTCTAATCTTCCTCCATTAATTAGGTATTTTCTTATTTTTCATAATTATGTTGAATAACTCCGTAAGCCACTTAATCTCAAATTCGCCAAGGCATCTCCACGCCTCTATTAGGATATCATCGAGACCTACGGATTTTTTCTTTTTCATTTTGTGCATAACTTTCTTAACCCCTTTAATTTGAATTTTCCTATAATATGTGAAATTTTTGTGTTTGCTCTAGTTCATCTAGTGTTGTTTCCCTGTTATCTACTCCATGAAATAGTTTATGGAAATAATCCTTCCACCTATCTTATATTGTCTTATCATCCATTAAGACATACTCATGTTCTTCTTTCATGCATTTAATCTCGCTTAAATCTCTTGTTTTCTTTTTCCTTATTATTGCAATTTATTAAATTCTTTTTCTCTCTCCTTAGTATCTAATTTTTTGTAAAAGTTTTAAAGAACTTTCATCTTGCTTCTTTTTAGCATTTTTATTTTTTTCTACATTCTCGTCACTCCTACAAGTGAATAATGCTCTGTAACAAACTTTTTCTCTTCTCCTTTTTCTTGAATATTTTGATTCCACCACTACGATTCTTTATTGCATTTATACCTTTTGAAACTTCTAGTTCTTTTTCAACAATTATTCTTATTTCTTTAGTTACCATTTCCCATGTTTTATTGGGTTTCTTTTCCATGTTCCAATTAACCTTTTCACGTAAGGTTTTAGTAAACCTATCCATTTTATCTTTGTTATTCAGATTCAGCCATTTTATCATAAGTATTTTAGGTACTTTCTCTTATATATATATTGGTTTTAATTCTTAGATCTGTGACTACCAACCTATGTTGAGTTGTTATACGCTCTCCCAGCATTACCCTACAATCTTTACAAAATTTTCTGTCACTTTTCTTAGTTAAAAAGTAATCAATTTGTAATTTGTTAGAGCCATTTTTATATGAAAATCAAGTGTTCATCCCTTTTTTTTAAAAACAAAATGTTACATATGACAAAATCATATGCCACCGAAAGGTCTAATATAGTTTTAATTTCATTATTTTGTACTCCAAAACCTTAACCTCTATAAACCCTCGCATATTCTTCATTTTCCTTCCCTACTTGTTCATTTAAATTCCCACCTATAAAGATCTTTCATTATCAAAGATTGATTGGACCAATGACTCTAAATCTTCTCAAAATTTAATTTTAGTGACTTCATCTAATCCTACTTGAGGCGCATGCACTAATTACATTTATGGCTTCATTTTCTCTTATAATCTTCAAGGTTATTAATCTATCTCCCTTCGTAATCACCCTTCCTACTTGGTTTATGAATAATGAATCAACAATATACCTACACCATTCATATTCGTATTTTTTCCACTATACCAAAGTTTGTACCTTGTGCTATCTAAAAACGTTGATCTTTTCACCTACCCATTTTGTTTCTTGCAAGCACATTATATTTACCCATCTTCTTCTCATACATTTTACTAGTTCTAGAGATTTACTTATTAAAGTTCCTATGTTCTAATTCCTTATTTCACAAGTTTTATCAATTCTATAATTATTTTTAAGTTGTTTTCTAGGTTGGGTATTTTTTTCTAGTTTTCACTACTCCCACGCCCTTATGAGAATGTAGTGGACCTTGTCTAGAAGTGAAAAATTTAACTTGTATTGTGTTCTTAGCATACGGGGCCTCTTGCACATTTTACACTACACCCAAGTCCCTATGGACATGTAGTAGTCATTGCCAAGACGACGCAGTCGGACCCTACAACACCACATAGAACGAGTGGAGTGATGGGTTTTTTAATGTTGGCTACCAATCTGACGCAAATCTTCCTCCTTCAAGAAGTAAAAAATAAAATAAAATAAAAATCAATCTATAGTAGAAAAAAATGTAGTTTCATCTCACGGTTCTAGTTTTCCACAATTAGGAAAGGTAAAAAATTACAAAATTGAGGATATTTTTACAGACACATATATACATTTAACGATTATAAAGAGAAATCCTCGTCTCATGTTTAATCCAATCCAGGTACCTCTTCAAAAAAAACAAAGAAAAAAATGTGTTGTCTAAATATTTCTCTTCTGGATTAGAATGTTCAGCTACCATCTTTCAAGCGAAGAAAAAAAAAATCTCCTGCATTTTGATTATTATCTATACATCAACATTGAACAAAATTATGGAAAGGATCCAAATATCTAAAATGAGTATCACTAAATAGAATTAAATCTCTTATGTTTTAATTTGCACCATATATTCTAAACTTTACTCGATGGAAATCTCATTTTGATCCAAACAATTGTTGGAAAGTCAATATAAGAACATTGAATATTTAGTTGATTGCAGTACTGTTTTATAAATATGAGAACAATTGTTGAGATGCTTTGGTCTTTTAGTACCTTTCTATCAGAGAAACACAATTTATTGCTAGGCACTAGCTATAAGATCAAATTGCTTCTTTTAAGAGGTAGTCTTCAGATAACATAAAATAGTATTCCCTCCTATTTTTATTATAAGGCATTTTGATTTGTTCTAGGTTTTTATTTAGTATTTTTTTTCAAATTTTTTTTAAAAAAAACCTTAAAAATACTTTCTAATGGTTATAAGAACACATTGAATATGAAAATATAATTTGAAAGTTTTTTTCCAATGGAAAACATACTAAGTGAAACTCTTGAAAGGCCCAAATATAAGCGCACATATGGTTCTAAAAGATCTTTCATACTGTGCCCAATTCCGAAATTCGTTCTATACATATGACACCTCAAAACCAATTGGTGATGAGGGGAGTAGCACATGGGGTATATATGTTGGGTTCAAGTGTTTCCTTCCATCCATGTGGGACAAGGGAACATGAGGTCATTTTCTTTCTTTCATTCATTTAACACGCCCCTCTCAAGTCCAATGGGCTTGGACGGATAATTTTATATATTTTTTTCTGATTTTTTTTTTCAATCTTGCGATCGGTTTCCGGATAAACCGTCGCCTTCCGGGCCAGTTAAAGTTCAAAGTCAAACCTCGGATTTCTTCCGTGGGTTGACTAAAGTTTTAAGACCCAATCTGGGTCAGTCCACCTCGCCCCACAAGTCCCACAGGTCCGCGGATTAAAGCCTGCTCTGATACCATCTTGAAAGGCCTAAAGATAAGCCCACATGTGGTTCCACCTCAAAACCAATTGGTGATGAGGGGAATAGCACATGGGATATATATGTTGGGTTTAAGTGTTTTCTTCTATACATGTGGGACAAAGGAACATGAGGTCATTTTCTTTCTTTCATTCATTTAACAGAAACTTAAGATAAATCACAATGCCTTATAATAAGGACCGGAGGGAGTATATGAATACGCAAACATTTATATAATAGAGAAAAAGATTGGTACATTCACCGAGTCCGTGAATTCTCATGAGCAATAATTAATTAGTTTAACCAAAACATAAATAAAGTATTCCTAGCTTTTAGAATGTTTCCACTAGTTTTTTCAAATTCTCCAAGTCCCTGAACTTTGAATTAAAGTAATGTTCTTCAATGTTAATGTTTGAAGTAAATATGACTGAAAGAAACAAAACAAAATAATTATCCAAATATCTCAACTAAAAAAGCAGCATATTGAGGAACATTTAACATATGGTCTAAATCATAAAACACAATTTATACTTTAGCCTTATATGATCACTTAATATCCCGATTTGCGGCATGTTCAAAGCAATTGTCTAATCTTCCATATTTAGCAATTAATTACATGTGTTTCTTGTAGTAACAAGTATTAGATTTTTATGAAGCCAGTAGGAAAGACTTTAATTTTTTTCTTACTCAATTATGAAGGTGATCCAACTGAATGAGCGATTTCAGACAACTCGGAGGGGGAAACGGCTTAAAATTCATTTACTCATTTGCCATTAAACTCCATATATATGAGAATCCAAACCCCACTTACCCTCTACAATTTCTGGGTTCGAAACTGTTTTATTGGTTTCTTTGCTCATTTGAAAAGAAAAAGAAAAACAAGTTTTATTCGTGGACATAATATTTTAGTGTTGTGCTAGTCGAATATATTGATGTTCTTTTTCTTTTGGGGTAGAAGAGAAGATGACATATGATGCTAGTAGAACATTTGGGAGAAATTTGAACAAAAGATGTTGGGCAGTTGTCATTTGCTTGGTTATTGGCATAACAATTTGCAATTTTTTCGAGCCTTACATATGTAAGCTTTAACAGTTTTTTTTTTTTTTTTTTTGTTAACGTTAATTTGTAATCCATGTTGCAGTGAACTTCAAATTTCTGGCAGGAGACAATCTCAACTTGCAAACGGGAATTACCAAGGAAAGAATTGAAGCCCACCATCAACCATGTTAGTTAATTATATCATTGAGAAAATGAAGTTATCATTGAAACTTCTTAAATTATTTAAGATTTTTTTTTTTCCCTTTTTTCTTTTCCTTTTTTGAAGAACAGGTTCCGGGATCAAAGAAAGGTCTAGCCTTGTTTGCGAGCTTACACGGAAAAAGGGGGATTTTTGTGATATGAAAGGGGATCTAAGAATCCTTGGAAATTCATCTACCATTTTCATGGTCTCAAATGAAGGTGAAAACCTCAAGACCTGGGAAGATTCTTGGCATATAAAGCCCTATGCTAGAAAAGAAGACAGTATCGCAATGGGGCGAGTTAGAACAATAAGAGTGAGGAAAACCGAGGTTTCGAAAGGCAGTCCTATCTGCAGTAGAAACTACAACAATCCTGCTGTTCTATTCTCCACCGGAGGATACACCAGAAACCACTTTCACACCTTCGCTGATATACTGATTCCACTATATTTGACATCCATTGAGTTCCAGGGAGAAGTAAGGTTTCTTATAACCGACATGCGCCCTCTATGGATAGAGAAGCATCAAGATGTGTTGCTGAAACTATCAAACTATCAGCTCATTGACATTGATCAAGAAAAGGAAATACTTTGTTTTCCAAGGATTATTCTTGGCCTTAAAGCAACAGATAAGGAACTAGGCATCAATGCTTCCCAGTCTTCATACACAATGAAGGAGTTCAGACAATTCTTAAGAAACACATACTCTTTGAAGAAACAATCTGCTATCAGATTACCTCAAGGTGTGAAAGGCAAAAGACTGAGGCTACTTCTTGTATCAAGAAAGAAAACAAGGCGGCTCTTGAATGAAGGAGAAGTTGCTGTGATGGCCGAAGGCTTAGGCTTCGATGTTCTTGTGGAAGGTTTGGATTCCTTCGAGTCCAATACCCCGGAGCTTGCCACTGAGCCTAGGGTCGCGCAGCTTGTCAACTCTGTCGACGTTCTTCTGGGTGTTCATGGAGCTGGCCTAGCAAATATGGTATTTCTCCCTGAAAATGCAGTGGTAATCCAGATTGTACCTCTAGGAGAAATGGAATGGATGGCTAGGACATTCTTCGAAGAGCCTGCGAGAGACATGAACTTGCGGCACTTGGAATATAGGATTAGCCCCGATGAAAGTACAATAACACAACAATTTCCAGAAATCTTGAAGGAAGCCGAGGCAGTCAAAAAGAAAGGATGGCGAGCTTTTCGAACAGTTTTTATGGATAAACAAGACATCAACGTAAATATAAGTAGATTCAGAAACACTCTGCTAAAAGCATACGCTATGCTAGAGAGTTAGTTTTACTCCTCTGTTTTTCTTTCCTCAAACCTGTAAGACCAAATCTTCCTATACTAACGTTTTCTGAGTTGCTTTTTGCAGTTTACAAATTACTCGCTTACAGTTCTTTTTGGACAATTTTACCCCTGATCCCTTCTCCTTCTCCCTATTTGCTTCTTCTCCAACTTCATCTTCTTCTTCCTTTTTTTTTTCAAATTTTAAATCCAGATCTATCACAAATCAAAGTGTAAAAAATATCGGAACAAGACAGATAATCACGGAAAGGCTTGCCTTCGATTTTAGTAAAAATAATTTCCCAATAAACTCTTGAAAATAAAATAAAAAAAAAAATTGCCCCCTTTTGAAGATTGGTCGGTTTACTCACCGGCCAACTAGGAAGAAGTGGCCACCTTGGGTTCAAATTCTTTTTTTATGTAATTGTTATTATTTTTTTATATTTACTTTAGTTTTATTTTTTGTGTTATATTTACTGATTTAATAACATGTTTAATTTAATTTAATTTATTAGGTATAATTAATTTAATTTAATAATTAGTGTAGATTAAATAGAGAAATTAGTTAGTTTTATTTTGTGGGCTTTAATAATTATCGTTTACGTAAATGAATTATTTATAATTTGATATAATTTTTTAAATTGTTAACATGTATTTAAATTGTTTAAACTAGTTATTTAAATGTCATATGTTTCATTGCAAATTCTTTCAAACATGTCAAATTAGAAAAGAAAAAATCCAAGAAATAACACATAACATTCTAAATAAATATACATCAATAATATCTCAGTATTGCCACCAACCAGTGTGGAGGTGAATGTGGAGGTGAATCATCTTCGAAATCATTAAACCTTTCCGAGTCAAAATCTTCAGTCGGAACATTATCTTCGTCCCTCACATTCTGCTGGTACCAACTAGTCTAATCAAATACCTCGTCAAGTCCCTTCACCCTACATTAATGAATATATATAACTACTCCATCAGAATAACAAAAATATAGATTAAAATGAATTCAATTAATCTAATTATACCTAATTAATTTGCCCTTTAACCTACATTAATTATTATATAGATTTATTTCATTAAAATAAAGATTCAAAAATAAATTTTAAAAAATTCAATTAAATTAATTATTCCTAATAACACAACATTCAACAACTAATTATATTAATTATAAATAAATTTAACTTAATTAATCAAACAAGAATACAAAAACTAATTACATTAATTATAAATAAATTTAACTAAAGTAACTATAACAAAAAAAATTACAACAAAATAATAAAAATAAAACCAAAAAAATTTGAAAAAAAAACACTAATTATTAAATTAAAAAAACCTAATTTCTCTATTTAATCTACATTAATTATTAAAGTAAATTAATTATACCTAATAAATTAAATTAAATTAAACATGTTATTAAATTATTAAATATAACACAAAAAATAAAACTAAAGTAAATATAAAAAAAATAATAACAATTACACAAATAAAAAATTTGAAAAAAAAATTTTTACCCGCAGCCACTTCATCCCGGTTGGCCGGTGAATAAACCAGCCAATCTTCAAAAGATACGGCCGGCCACCCTAGGCAAAAATTCTTATTTTATATTTTTGTTTTTATTTTCAGAGTTTATTGAAAAAAAAAATTTACTAAAATTGAGGCGAGTTTTTTTGTAATTGTCTGTCTTATTCCGACATTTTTCTACACTTTTATTTGTGGTAGATTTAGATTTAAAATTTGAAAAAAAAAAAAAGAAGAAGAAGAAGTTGGAAAAGAAGGAAATAGAAAGAAAAAGAAAGAGTCAGGGCAAAATAGTTCAAAACGAACTGTAAGTGAGTAATTTGTGTTTTTTCAGTCTCTTTTCTAATTTTTAATGCACTTTTTACATTGTCGATACATTTTTTTACCTCCACGATTCCAAAATAAAAAATGGAAAAAAAAAAAGTGTGTAAAAACACGCTGAAAAGTGTTGTTACGCAAAGCAATGTAATTCCACTACCCTTTTGCCTAACTGCGGTCCACCACCCACTTTCAAAGTCAAAGGGTACTCCCAACTTCTACCAAAATTCCTATATTTCAATCGCAATCTTTTTGGTCGAATGGCTATTTGAAAAACTTGAATCCATTCCCCAATTCTCAGGTTCCCAAGCTAGTCAGCATTGCCAACAACGAGATGGAAGCTGATCGAAATCTTCATATGCCGAGAATAGCTTTCGTAACTGTTCCCCCCACTCCGTCATGAAAACCAGAACTTCTCTTTTCTCTCCCCCTTTTTAGTATTTCACCAGAAAGCTGTTCAGCTATATAAATTCATCATGGGAGCTGTGTCTTGCTCTCCTATGCATCCCTAATCTGATAATCGGTTAATGGTTTTAACCAAAAACCAAACCGGCAGAGACCGTTTCACTCACTCGGCCAGTTATTCGGTTCTTCTTTAAAATGTGAAACCGAACATAGCCGGAAGACCACCAGTTCGAACACCCCTACATAAACTCATTCCAAAACATCGTGCCAAGCAGGGCCCTTAGTCTTTGGCTGATTACCTCCACCTTGCAGAAGGAATTTGCTGTTTCTTCTTGTTTTTCCTTAGAATAGCTGACATATGATCAACTGTTTCACGATCACATTGAGATTCACCGGTCAACCATCGTAAAGCCTCAGCAGCAGCATCCTTTTCTGCCTCTTTCTTACTACCGTGAGGCTGTCCAACAAAATCCAATCCATTGAACATAACAGTGGCTCGGAACATATTGTTCTTCAATTGTTTAGTCTTGTAGGTAGGAGCTTGATGTCCAGCCCTTAGGAGCAATGTTTGAAGATGGGTCTTGGCATTTTCACCACCCCCACCCTTTTGGGTGCCTACTTGTGCCTCATTTTTGGCTTTTTTGGAGGATGTTGGCAATTGGCGACCAAAGACAAACCTACCGTCACATTGATCTTGTGAAACCAGAAATCTTACTATTGATAGGAGCTCATCATAGCTGCTGATGTCAGTCTTCGGATTTGAAAGCTGCAGCATTAAGTAGAAGCGCATTTAGTACCAGTCTCAAATTTATTAACTAGCACCCAAACGCCTTGAGCAGAAAATGAATGGAAAAGAAGAAAAAGATGCGGCGCCACACGAATGACTCGGAAAACTTCACATACCTTCTTCTGAATAAGTTCATCCAGCTCTTGCTTTAGGGTAAGATAGGTACCAGCCAATGCAGGTTTCAAGAAAAACTCCAAATAACCTCCCAACATTTTCAGGTGTCCATCCTACCAGAAAAGGGGGAGAGGAAATGAGCAGTGGAATCAAACAGAGAGAAGTCATATTGACATCAATTCTGTATGAGATGACAATAAAGGAAGCACCAAATACTTACTAGACCGCCTTGATTGATTTTTCCACCAAATAAGAGCACTATAGAATCAGATACGCCAGTTGAATCTCTCACAAATACAGCATTCACTTTCACTTTTTCATTAAAAACTAGCCAGGGATATGGGATCTTAGGCTCCTGGGCATTTGCAGAATTCTGAGGAAGAAAAAAAAAAAAAAACAACCCCAAAAACTTAAGGCACGGTATATTAAATAGCCAAACATCAACATCTGATAACAAGGTATCTCTATACTGTTATGCAAAATGACAGTAATGGATGGAAACTTACAGAGTGCAAAAGCACCAGACCATCCTCCATCGTTTTTAAAGAAACTGACTTCTCCTTGTTCTGCAATGCATCTTCGGTTGTCAATAACATATACATATAGGGAAGAAAGAATTGATGTCTTCATGCTTGACAAGAAATCCACAAGGTAAATACTCCACTTAGCTGAAACTAAAACATTAAGTAACAAAAGAAGGCATGACTTACAACGACAGAGCAAATTCCAGGAAAGAGACCAGCACATATGAGTGCACGTACGAGATGCTCATCATGGCTCCACTTGTTGCAACTTTCAACATCATCAACAAGACCAATATCCTTTAATAGATGGAAGAATTGCTTACGAAGGGAATCTATTGCTTTCAAAGTTTGTGCAGAGAGAAAGTTTCTCCAACAATACTCATATCCTGATTGGTTTTTCTCAGCTTCCTTCCAACCATCAAAAGCCCGAATGAGGGCCAGATGATCACTGAATTCCCGAGCAGAAAATTGAGCTTTTGCAGATTCAGCAAGCTGCAAGCAGTGCCAAAATATCAATCAGAAACTGGGTGACCGTCAATTCATGACACATAAGGCGTACTAGTATGACATAAGAGTGCGGAGCTTGGTATGAGTAACAAGTAGAATGAATTTCGATCCAAATCACCAAGAAACTCTCTTATTTGAAATTTGGGTGAACTTGAAAGGAATAATGAGAAGAATGTAGAATGTGGACTATCCTGAGAGTGCCAGAACATAAGGAGAAAAATTCACGCGAAAATTTTCAACACAAAACAAGGATTGATAGTGAGTTCCTATTCCAGCAGCCCATAAGTTCAATAGTCTCACACAGACCAAGAACAACTTAGATACAACAGGTGCCTAACGACCAGCTTCACCAAAAAGCAGTAATTAAGAACGCTAAACAACAGGCTCAAAGTAGGCTGGAAAGCAAAGTAGCAAAGGGAGACAGGTTATTACTTATTGGTGCAGGAAGATTTTTGAAGTTATTTGCACGCATGTAACTGTGAATCGATAATTAAGAAATAGAGTCAAGATACTGGACGGCTTACTCTTCTAAAACAGTTTTCTCTCCTCTTCGTTTTAAGAAACCACAATTGTGAAATGAATGGTCTCTAAACATAAGGCATGTAAATGGTAAACAGACCTCCTATTCTGCTTGCAATACATCATCAGAAAGCACAGACTAACATAAAGCAAACATACATCTTTTGGTTATGGTTCAGAAAGCTGATTTTCTCTAATTTCAAGGGCAACAACAAGAGCATTGTCCGATGAAGGAAAATATCTGTGGAAGCGAACACCTAAATGGTGGTGAAATTTGAGAATTATGTTTGTTGGAAGCACACAAACAAGGGAACTCAAAGCAAGAGTTTCTTGACGCTCTTAAATCACTGTATAGCAAAACGATCAAAAATAATTACACCGCCCATCTCAACTGTCAGGTAGAGCTATTTTATTCAACTCGCATCTAAGAGAAGACGATGAAGAGACCATGGAGCTAACCTAATTACAAAATGATTTGGCAGCTAGATTAGGAAAGCAGCTTAATTTTGGTTTTCTCAGCATAAAAGATTTAGAAACACAAGCTCCAACAAGACAAGGACTACAGATCAATGACGACGAACTGTAATACTACAAAAGAAAAGGTACATTACATCGCAAAGAGTCAACAACTAATTGAAGCTAACATAAACGGTGAACTGCCACCAAAACAGAAACCAAAAAAAAAAAAAAAGGTAATATTGAAGGAAATAATAATGATTAACAAAACACTACCAAAGAAGCCAGAAGTTAATAGTAAATTATATGGAGGACACAAGATGGTGAATACAGCATAGAGAAGTGTTTACTTACATCCTTCTTATCAAACGGCATCAAAAAGGGATCTCTGACACTCAAAGAAGCAACAACAGTCATTATCGGATCCAAACATTTGAATATAGACCCAAAGATAAGCATTTTTCCCAATTTTGGTTCCACGGGAAGCATTGAAAGGTTGTGCCCTGCAATAAAATAGTAAGAAATATATTCTTATCAAGTTTCTCCAAAGAAACTAAAAGTCTAAAAGGCCTTAAAGAAGAAAAAGAGAATAAAAATGGAATGAATTCAGAATTTACCTAGAAGAGTAAGGTCCTCTTTCTCATCTAAAGCTCCAATGACCTTCAAATATTCAACAGCATTTTCAACCTGAAATAAAAATTTCATTGGTAAAATAAAACATCAATTAAAACCACTGAAGCAGCCAGGCGACTGCAGAAAACAGAAAACAGACAGACCCACAAAAAATACAAATAACAAAGGGATGCATGCACCCTTGCGAAATAAAAAGAGACAAATAATTGGAGAAAGTTAATACTCACGGAAAGTGGTTCAGGTGACTGAAGAGCCTTAGAAAGAAACTCTGAAATACTCCCAAGCTGTAAACTTTTGATTTGCAAACAGAGAGACTGCAAAGGGGTCCTAAGAAGCTCGGGCAATTGATAATCTGAAAAAGCATCATATACGAATCTAGGATAGAGATGGTAGCACTCCCCAGGTTGAACACGGCCAGCCCTTCCTCTCCTCTGAACAATTAATATGAGTTTCACAATAAAATTTCAGAATGTAGACTTTAATCTAGAGTAGTATTGAAAATTTTCACTACTTGAGCGTGGATACAATCCCATGTCCACTCATGGGAAAAAGAAATGTTTAAATAACCTACTTGCCGCGCAGAAGCCTTAGAAATCCAGGCTGGAAGCAAACATGGAGTGTTATTTAGTGCATCATAAGATGTCTCCTTTGCTTTTCCACAGTCCACAACAAAAACAACGTCATTAATTGTGATACTTGTTTCCGCCATGTTGGTGGCTAGAACAATTTTCCTGACTCCATCTTGGGGCTTGTCAAATATCAATCTCTGTTCCACAAACACGAAATAAAGTTGTGCTTAAGGACAAAACAACAAATGCGCAGCAAAAACATCACTCAAATGAACTATATCATATTAGGCAGTGGGCATTACATAACTGTGAGCATGGCATAAAACTACATGCGCCAAACTACCTGTTCAGCACTAGCCATAGAACCATGGCAAGCAAGAAGCAAAACTCTGCTTGGATCTCCCAAAAGAGGATTTGCTTGAAGCTGATCTTTTAAAGCATTAATGTCGTCCCACCCAGTCATAAACACCAAAATGGCACCAGGCCTTTCTTTTTGACATATATGGCAAAGCACATGCTCGATGAGGTTGAAGCCAATTGAATCAGGATTCCAACAAGACAGAGACTCCCGTGTTCGAGGACTATACTTCCGGAAGTCTGCATCATCCAGAGCTTCCTGTTTCATAGTATAAAGTTCCATTAAACTGATAGGATGCTAACTTGGGGGAAAAAAAAAAGAAAAAAAAAAGAAGAAACATCAATATAAGGGAGTACCTCTACAGCTGAAGCGATTTGAGTCTTTCTTTTTCGAAGAGCCTGCCTCTGCATTTTCCATGACTTATCTTGACCATAATTATCAATCTGGTTGTACTGATTTAACCTATAACCTGTCATTTCCAAAATATTTTCCAAGAAGTGACTGCGAACTGGGTATGTGAAACCCTGTGAATTAGGAGAAAAATTTCCCAATCAAGATACAAGATGAAATAAAACCCAAAACAATTTCAAAAGCAATTGAAAAACATCAAACGCAATGAAACACAAAAATAAAAACAGAAAATCTTCTATTTTTGCCATTTCAAAGGTGCATAAATAGTTGAGCAAGAAAGATGAATATGTTAAAAAAAATCCAAATGTTAATACACAGATATTGTGAAACATTTGTTTCAGATAGGCCAAAAGGCAGAAGCGCGCATGTGTGCCTCAGCAATGGTGGCTTACGCAGAACAACTGAAGAGAAATGAAAGAAAACATGCCCACTTATTCATGCACAGTGAAATCTAGTGCATTATCTCATCCACAATCCAAACCATGTCATAAAAATTCTAGTAAACATATAATACTGGGGGGACACATAGTTGCAGCCCACCAAAACATAACCCAAGGTTAATACTGAAAAGATAAATGGGTGTTTCAGCAAAATTCACATTCTAAATCATGCTTACGGGAATATGGATCATCGGAGCACTGCCAAAATAGGATGAGAAAAGCTCAGCGTTAAGAGTTGCACTCATCAAAATCAACCGCAGTTCTGGTCGACGAGGAAGGAGATCCTTGAGGACAATTAAAAGAAAATCTGCCGCAAAATTTAGATGTTTAAATATTCTTTCAATACTGAGGGAAAACTGCTACATTATAGAGATAATAAAGAGATTGTTCACATGCTTACCTTCATTCATTCCACGTTCGTGGATTTCATCAACAATAACATGAGTAACCCCTTTCAAATTTCTGTCGACTAGTAACCTCCTTAAAAGAATGCCAGTGGTGCAAAACAAAAGTCGTGTATCCCTTCCTTTCATTCCTTCAAGCCGAACTTTATAACCAACCTTGAAAAGGTTGATTCGATGATCAGAAAAAAATGGAAGACTAATTACCTGAATTCTACAAAACCGTGAGAATGACAAATAGACTGAATCGGACTTACAGATTCTCCTAAGTTCTCCCCTCGCTCTGCAGCAACTCTTTCAGCAACAGACATTGCAGAGATCCGTCTAGGCTGAGTACAGATAATACTGCAAGTGGCTCCGCGAGCTGCTTCAATCTCAGATTCTAAAATGTACTGTGGTAATTGAGTGGTTTTGCCACAACCAGTTTCACCAGACACAACCACCACCTGCAGAAGGCATTAAAGGTACATCACTCAGAACTCTCCTTATTTCAGCAGTATCATGAAATACCTAAAGACATAATCCAAAACTATCGAGTCAAGGGATGAGCGGTGCGAACGAATACATCACACTAGAAATGGATTTGATCCATGACATACTAATCCAACATTATCCCAAGTCACATCTGTGCCCCCAGTGGGTCATTCTTTGCACCGGTGTTAACAATATCCATAATACTTACCTGGTTTATTTGATTTCCGTGATATCCATAACAATATCAATTTTTTGATTTTTTACCTATACAGATAAGCATCTATTAATTAGGATGCACTTACCTGGTTTTGAGAAATCATTCGTAGCAATGATTCTTTCTCTTTATAAGAAGGCAAAGTTCTTCGAAATTGTAGCATCTTTTGGCCTTCTGCAGACTCCTGTCATAAAGATGAAATAGTGCTCAATACAAGTCGCGTTTAAAAGGAAAATTATCCATTTATAAGATTCATTGATACAGAAGAAAAGCAACACCATCCTAGTCAGGGGATTCGCACAAACCAAACCATAAAATAAGTAGAGCAAAATCTTAAAGAAAGATTTTATTTTATGTAATTAATCATTGAACTTAAGTAATCTCTAATTTTAAGATAATATATACCTGCCAATTTTGTTGTTTATTGCGTATGCTCAAGCTCCGACGCTGAAGAATTTTTTCAGCAACCACACTTCGAGTGGAATCCTGGCTGTCTGAGAGATCATCGCCATTAAAAAGACCACAATTATTATTTGACTTTAACCTCCCACTATGTGCAAAGGAATCCTTGTCTTTAGCTTTTCTAGAAAAGTAAGCTTTGAGAGAAGCATCTACTCGACTGTGCAACCCAGATGGCAAGACCACCTATTGATTTGAGAGACAACGATGTTAATGCTCAATGCAGGCGAGAAAAACAAAAAACAGAAGATCAAATAACAGTAACGAAAAGAAGTACTGCAAATACATTACCAAATATGAAGCATTTACATATTCTTAGAATACACGGAACCAAACTAAGATACACAAGAGCATGGCAGAAAAGTAATACCTCCCTCTGAGGACGCTTCTCATCAAGGTCTGATCTATAGTTGGGCAATGGGACTTTACTAAATACAACTACTTTGGAATACTGACGGCTGGAAAGGAAAGGAAAAACAAAAACGAAGTCAGATTTGATACATTTAAACAAGGAAACAAAGGAAACTAAAAATAAATAGCCAAAGATAACAATTGAAGGAATACAAAAAGTTCATTAATGACAAAACAGCAAAGACTCAATCAAACAGACATGGATCATTCAACAGCATTGAAATAATAACACACAACCAAAAAATATGAAGGCCGTAAACAACTGATCAGAGACAATAACTTGCCTATGTAAGTCCATCCTAGTTGCCAAGGCAGAAAGGTGCTCGAAATCTCGTCGATCTTTCCTTTCCCTGGATACAAGTTCCTGTTGACCTTCATTCCGCCGAAGCTTGGTCAGCCTCATTCTCCATTCTTCAATGTTATCAAGGGTTGAAGCACACTGGCAATGAAAAGACACATCAACAATTAAAGGGTGTTTAACCTACTAGATAATCCACCTGACAGGTGCTTAGTTTTCAAGAACAATATCCTTCAATTAGAGCTCTTCCTCTAAAGCAACATGGATCAAATTCTAATAAACAAATACTGTAATATGAAATATTTCAACCGCGTCCATTAACAACACCAACATACATCAATGTCTAGCACCCTATCCCCTCCAGTGCCTGTTTTCCACAGAAAATTGGTAACAAGTACAAAGATTCTTATTTACTAAAACCTAACATAATCCATAAGCTTTGGATGAATAGTACTACGCTGCATCAAGCTCATCTCTTTGTCATTCCGGGAAATAAAGGACCAAAATGACTTCATTTCTGCTCAGTAAGTAAAACAAGCCAATTCACAACAGCAACCAATATATAAAAGCGCAACCACTAAGCTATAGCCCGCCAATTATCATTTTGCAGTAGCAAAATCAACCTTTTATGATCGAAGGGCGAAAGAACAAAACAACTCCAAAGGAAATGCAAGTAATCGATAAATTCTGGCAAAAATTCAACCTAGTACGGGCCATGGAAAACAGAAACTCACCATTTGCTTGGACCCTGAATCACGGTCAGACTGGTAATCATCCTCCTCTGATTCATACTCGTCATATGCAAACCTCCCATACCCCGCACTCTGCTGATAAAAATAAGGCAGCACTGAAGGAGAAGAAGAAGAAGATGATGATGAAGATGCATTTTTTCCAATTCTCTTCAGTAAAACAGAGGCAGAGGAAGAAGGGAGAGGAGGAGGGGGACGAGAGGCAGAGCAGATGAAATTGGGGAAGGCAACGCCGGCTCTGGACCGGCGGTAGTGGTGGTGGCGGAAGACAGGAAATTGAGTTGAAAAATGAAACCCACGATTAAATTTCAATAAGGGTAAGGAAGACATGGATTTTATGAGACAAGGGGTGGCTTTCAGCCTGAGGTTGCTGATGAAAAATGGTGAGTAAGAAGGCATTATGGCTGCTTTTCGATTATCAAAATAGTGAATTCAAAGTTCCAATTTCTTTGGAGTGGGTTTATACAACTGCTACAGTTATGGAATGATGTCAATTCACAAGTGTGTGAGCATAGCCATGGTGGGTTTTGAGCCTTATTTCATTGGGATTTAGCTTCAAGAAGGAAGAAAGAAAGAATAAAGAGGGATGACTGGCATAGGCGGAAACAGAGCAGGGGGCGGTGGAAAACGCTCTGAAAAGGGTGTTTTCCGGTGGTTTGGTTTGGCGCTGCAACATATATATGTTTGTGTTGATGTGTAAAACCCCAGTTCATATGTTTTTTTTCTTTCAGGAAGAATTTTCTTTTGTTTTTTTTTTTTTTCCGTTTTTTGGACATTTTGAAGGGGTTTTTGTTGTTATTATTCTATTTTTTATTTTAAGAAAATGGGAAAAGAATTTGATTACATTAATACTTCTACAGTCGAATCTATAAATTATTCATAATGTTGGGACCACCACATTTTATCAATTTAGTCAATTATTAAATAATCGATAAATTAATAAATTATTAATTTAAAGAATTTTTTCGAAAAAAAAAAAAACTTACTATACTACATAATTTTCCATCGTTTCTTTCCAATCCTAAACAAATAAGGACTGTAACTCTTTTTAATAATAAAATCAAATCTAAGTTTGTATCATATTCAGACTCGGGATCAAGAAGGGGCTGAAACTCTTCTCTTAATAGGTGTGCGCCGTAAAATTATTTTGCTAGCATCATATATTGTTATTATCAGACATTGGACTCATATGAGGCAGCCATGAAGAACTTAATGAGTTTCAAAACATGATTAATCATTTTGGTTATCACAATAAGATGAATGTGAATCAATTGGTCGATTATCCAAGTGAAAATGATGATCTACAGAGGTCAATCATTTGAGGATATTGTGGCTAGTGTCTTTGAAGATTGAATTCAATTGAGGACGAAGGTGATGATGATTCAGTCCCTTTGGCACCAGTCACATGAAAAAAAAGCACTCAAATTAGCAATAACTCTTCAGAATTTCTTGTTGCAATTTGAGAATACAACACCAGAGCTTTCAAGGACAATAAGACAAATCAAGGATGAAATTTCATTGGATATAAATTTCAAGAAAAAACAAACATCAATAAGCTCATATTTTACTAAATCTTCCTAGTTATTAGTATTTTTTTTTTTTTTTGTATTTAGGGTATTTATTAATTTATAGTATTGTAGGACCTATAGATATATAAGAGATTTTCTGAAACATTATTATTTTATCTATTTTGTCACTTTTTGTACTGGTCCCGAGTTGGGACCGGAAAAAATTATTAATTGCTAGAAATTATTAATTTACCGACGTTCTACTATATATAATTAATAGAGAGACCTAACAAAATTCATTAATTTCGAAAATTATTAAATAATTGATAAATTAATAAACTATCATTTCAAAGAGTTTTCTTAAAAAGAAAAAAAAAGAGAAAAAAAAAGAGAAACTTTGCTGAATTATCTAATTTTCATATATCTTTATCATCTTAATCAAGCAAGAAGTTTGTGTCATTTTCAGCGTCTAAAAAATAAGTATTAATTGTTTCTATTTTACTAAATATTTTTAGTTATTTGTCATTATTATTATTTTTGGTGAAAATGTATATATATATATATATATATATATATATATAAACAAGCCACCAAAAGGCCATTACAGTTCAGTTTGTTTGAGACCCTGCTGCAAGCTCTCTCATCCTGCCTACACAACTCATATATACAAAAGATTGACAGATTCTACACTATGTCTAATATCTATTCACAGCTAGGCTAAGGAAAGAACTGCTGTAAAACTGCTTGGCCAGCCTGCGAGATTTTCTTTTTCTGTCAGTATAGAAACCTCTGCTTAAGTTCAGCTTGAATAAACTTCATGAGATCATCCGGTTCTCGATCCATTTGCCTGTGTAACTTGCTATTCCGTTCTTCCCATATATGATAGATGCAAGTTGTAAGTGCTGCCAGGAACACCTTCCTTTTATTTGTTATTATTTTTATACGTATTCTTTAGTGCAAGTATAAATTTTATAGTATTGCTGGGAGCAAAAGAGATATAGAGGATTTTTAAAATATTACTCCCTTCGTCTCATAATTATTGTCCAGTTTGTATTTTCATTTTTAGTTCAAATTGTACTAAACGTGAAATTTCGAACCGAAAAATAATTTTGGGACAGAGGAAGTATTATTTTATATTATTCTATCGATTTTGTTCATTTTCTGTAATGGTCCCAAGTTGGGACAGGAAAAAAGTTATTAACTACTCGAAGTTATCTATTCATAGATTATGAATTTACCGACATTTTATTATACCTTAAAATGCTTTTAAAATTATATTTTATCAGTTCGTATTTTAACCCTAAAAAATTATATTATAAAACTCATGACTCATATGCAGTTTTGGGAATTTCTTTTTTCCTTTGGTTAACATAATTTGATGGTTTACGTGAACAATAAACTCCTGCACTAAAAAACAAAGAATTCTTTTAATAAATATTTTGATTAATTAAATTATTCATAATTTGCAGGCGAAAAGTTACTTTTCTACTATAAACAGAATTGTAAATTGACCATACAACTGAAGTTGTATCTGCCATAATACAAATTGAAATAAACAACAAAAAATAAATAAAACCAAACTTTGGTAGAGTAACTAGAGTTACTTCAACTATTTAGTACTTTCTCCCTCAAAATTCAACCTTATTTTTGAAATTTTTATTTTATTTTATAAAAAAACCAAACTTCAAATTCTCAATTATAGTTTTTTGACGCAAATGTAAAATAGGAAAATACCATTAGAAAGCGTCATATCACACCCTCCGCATTATAACTGAAAGCGTGCTTTTCTCAGTCCTCCAGAACCCACCATTTCCTTTTTCTCCTAAACCCAAATTTTCAATTTCCAGAACCCTCCACTTTACTTACACACACACACACACACACACACAGAGTAAACCATCTCTCCCTCTTTTTATAAAAAAATCTGGCTCTCTGTGTTTTCTAGGGTTTTCCTCCAGACCTCTGTTTTCCTTCTCTTCCTTCCGTAACAATGGCCGCTCCTGCAGTAGCGTCCACAGCTCGTGCATCTTCTTCCAAGACGGAAACTTTCGTCGACAACAAGCGCAAAGACGACATCCGAATCGCCAACATTGCCGCCGCGGAAGCCGTCGCAGATGCCGTCCGTACAAGCCTGGGACCGAAAGGGATGGACAAGATGATCTCCACCGCCAACGGCGAGGTCATCATCACCAACGACGGAGCCACCATCTTGAACAAGATGGAAGTCCTGCAGCCCGCCGCGAAGTTCCTCGTCGAGCTCTCCAAATCTCAGGATGTCGTCGCTGGAGACGGTACCACCACCGTCGTCGTCCTCGCCGGAGCGCTGTTGAAGGCTTGCAATACACTCCTTTCCTCCGGCATTCACCCGACTGTTATATCTGATGCCTTGCACAAAGCTGCGGTGAAGGCCGTTGAAGTTCTGACCGCCATGGCTGTTCCCCTTGAGCTTTCCGACCGCGAATCCCTTGTGAAATCGGCGAGTACGGCTTTGAATTCTAAGGTAGTTTCACAGTACTCCACTCTTTTGGCTCCTTTAGCTGTTGATTCGGTGCTCTCTGTTGTGGACCCTGAGAAACCTGATTTAGTTGATTTGAGGGATATTAAAATTGTGAAGAAACTAGGGGGTACTGTTGATGATACTGAGTTGGTGAGAGGTTTAGTTTTCGATAAGAAGGTTAGTCATGCTTCTGGGGGTCTTACCCGTGTTGAGAATGCTAAGATTGCGGTGATCCAGTTTCAGATTTCACCCCCTAAAACTGATATGGAGCAGAGTGTAGTGGTTTCTGATTATACCCAGATGGATAGGATTTTGAAGGAAGAAAGGAACTATATTTTGGGTATGATTAAGAAGATCAAGGCCACTGGGTGCAATGTGCTGTTGATACAGAAGAGTATTTTGAGGGACGCAGTGACTGATTTGTCATTGCATTATTTGGCTAAAGCTAAGATTTTGGTGGTGAAGGATGTGGAGAGGGATGAGATTGAATTCATTACCAAGACTTTGAATTGCTTGCCTATTGCTAACATTGAGCATTTCAGGGCTGAGAAGTTGGGGTTTGCAGATTTAGTGGAGGAGGTTTCACTTGGGGATGGTGGGAAACTTGTGAAAATTACTGGTATCAAAGACATGGGGAGGACCACTACTGTTCTTGTTCGAGGATCTAATCAGTTGGTCATTGATGAGGCTGAGAGGAGTTTGCATGATGCATTGTGTGTGGTTAGGTGCCTGGTCAACAAAAAGTTCTTGATTGCTGGTGGTGGAGCACCTGAGATTGAGCTATCAAGGCAGTTGGGAGCTTGGGCAAAGGTGTTGCAGGGAATGGAGGGCTACTGTGTGAGGTCTTTCGCTGAGGCTCTAGAAGTGATACCATATACTTTGGCTGAGAATGCTGGATTGAATCCAATTGCTATTGTGACTGAACTGAGAAATAGGCATGCCCAAGGTGAGATTAATGCTGGTATCAATGTCAGGAAAGGTCAAATTACTAACATCTTGGATGAGAATGTGGTCCAGCCGCTTTTGGTGAGCACCAGTGCAATCTCCTTGGCAACAGAATGCGTGAGGATGATTTTGAAGATTGATGACATTGTTACTGTGAGGTAGAGCTCTTCATCACAGAAAGGGTGGTCGATGTGAAAGGTGTCTCCTTTGTTTTTTTCCATCTGCTTCTAGGATTAGAAGACTTTAATCTTTTGGTTTGCGATTATATGTTTTAGATGGATTTTGTAATAGTTCTCAGTCAGCTGCCTCTGTATCTGACTTACCTCAATGATCTTTTATTGCAATCCTCATGGTTGCATGGATAACTTTCGGGTACTGATGTTTGCAGAAATGTATTAATGTTGTCTTAGTGTCTCCAGATCTGAAAGCATTCCAAAAGTACATTGTGATTTATTGAACCTATTTTTGCTCTTGAAGTTGGTTAACTTTTCTCTGCCTGCATAGGTACCAGTTTTAGCTCTTATATGTGGAATGAGATAATTGTGTTTGCTCAAGTATAAACTTTGTGCTTCAGGATTTAAGGAGAGAAAAATAGATTGTTTCTTTTGAGATTGCACATCCAACCTGAAAATAACAATAGACGTAAAAAAAAATAAAAATGATATAGGCTGCTCTTTGTTATGCAAGAAATAACAACAGGAGTGACTTTCGATTTTCTTTGTTGACATACTAAAATTTTGTTAGTGCAGAATGTATACACAATTGAAGAACGGATAATTGAATGAACCTTATGTTACATGGAACCAACCCGCTAGATCAGAATCTAGTCTATAGTCCCTCGGTGAAACAAGCTATTTGCTGGTTTCACAAACTAAGAGCACGACTCTCTCATGATACTATGATAGGTTATGTCCAGCAGTTGGGCTTCTCTGTTCGCTGCGCTTGAATTCTGTAATTGAGTTAGTTTCTTTATCAGAATTATTACTTGGGTAGGTTAGAATGAAATCCACAAGTTTCACCATGTGATGCTTCCAAGTAGCTTTTCTATGACCATACGGAGTTGCTTCTCGTGATGACCAGAGAATGTCCAAGTCCTGGGCATCTTATGTTTCTTGATTTTCAACTGTCATTCCTTTTCATGGAATGTCAGTTCCAACTGAGGGTTGCTTCACGCTTTTGTCATCAAGGAGAGGTTTAGTCAATATCTCATCGCTATCTTGGATTTCCAGCTTCTTCTCTTCGGTTTTGCCCCACAAAACTGAGTACAGGCCGACCACAATCAGAGCTGCTCCAATTATCCTGCAACCAAGTCAACAGAAGAAGTTCAGATTTTGAGTAGCGTGAAGGATTTAGAATACAGATTTAAGCTACTTTCTGTTTCACATACCCTCCGGTATGGAATTGGTCTCCAAGAATTACATATGCCATAACAGCAACCAGTACGGTTTGTACTGGCTGGAAGATGGCTACAAAAACTGGTCCTCCTTTCTGAATACACCATGTCTGGAGCGAGATGACGATTCCAGATGACACAATCCCCTAATGAAATACAACATAGATTAGAACAGGATAGAAGCTATGTGAGAAACTGAAGCTGAACTCTTGAATCAATGGATTTGAGACTTTACAGCATATAGGATAGTGAAGATCTCCTCCCCTGACTGGATTTGCCAGCGCTTTGGATCCCTTTCCGCGAAAGCTGCTATTATTAGAAATTGGATCAATCCAAAGAAGCATGTGAATGAGGTCAGTGATAGTTTGGCTGGATACTTCTTGATAACAGGAGCCTGAAAAAGGAGACAAATGAAAGGTTTAGACTCAAGTTCATTGGCAAAGAACATGAAAATTCACAAAATAGAATCCTTTACAGTTACAGATATTATATAAACAGACCTGAAGAACCATCCAGCCAGCCCAGGATAAGCAATGAGCAAGGAGGCAAATGCAACCCCAAGTCCAGTTCTGCTGCCTTTTCATCGAAGTGAAAATATCTTCTGAAGAACTGGTTGCCGAATGGTGCAACAGGGGTGGGCCTTTGTAAAGGGTGATTATAGTGGCACCTCCAACACTAGCTATGGTCCCCAGAATCTTAGCTAAACCATCTCTCCTCCTAATGCTGACTTGCTCTAGTCTGATTCAGGAAAAGTTTTATTAGAATTCCGCGGTTTTGGATCCACGCTTGAAAAAACATAATTGCATTGTGATAACTCTAGCTTACCCAAGAACAGATGCCATGACGAAAGTAATGGCTGGAACTGAGTTTTGCATAGCGGATGCAAAGGTGGGAGATGCATAATACAGACCTAAGATGTAAAATCCTTGGTTCGCAGTGATCCTGAAGGAATAATGCAGGCCATTAGAGACTGAAACAAGAAACGATGATTTGGAAATGTGAGTGTTTGATCCTGTTAGCAGTAGGCAAAACTTACCCCACCAATGCAAGGAGGAAGAACTGAACCAACAAGGAGAAAGTAAGAGGTGGCCTGTCTTTCCTGTCAAATATAGGTAAATAAAACACTCGGTTAAATGCAAGAATAAACCTGTAAACAACTACATTATCAGTTGCATTGCCTAATTTCTCAGACATCAAGGATGAGGACTTATGATGATCACTCACTTTTCAATGAAATATGCGAAGGGACCAAGCAGAAGCAATGCGATGATGTTCCTATATACCGGGTAGACGATTTTGCTGACACCGATGTTAAGAGCAACTCGAGATACAATGTGGAATCCTGCAAAGCACAGCTGCAAGATCAACAATGCTACAAGAAGCTTCATTTTATCAGAGGAAGCGCTTCCTAGTCCCATGTTTGTTTCCTTTTCTCTGTTTTCTGAGGTTTCTCTTTGTCTTAGATTATGGAAGTACTACTGGAAGGACAGGGAGAATTGTCCCAACATTTATAGAAGCATAGACAGTACATTAAATGGAAGGCATGTGTGCTTAATTTATGCATGATTGGCACCAAAAACAGCCCCGCAAAACCATATGCTGATCAATCATTTAGGCATATTTTTTAATGAGATTTTCATGTCTAAAACAAATAATGCAATAATGCGCTTTCATTGTGGGGGGGTTTAATATAATAAAAGTGTTTGTTTGTATCATGGTTTGCAAGTAATCTGATCATAATGATTTTGGCTGTTAATATCATCAGTCTCAATTGAATCGTTGACTGAAAATTGAACTTTGTTAGGGAGACAAAGAGGAGTTGGAACATGATGGCTAGGCTGTTAAGGGGGGAAGTCTGATCTTTTAATTCATTGACCAAATGACTCAATTAAGTTTCTTGATTGGGATTACAGAATAATTGGGCTCCATTCATTTTGTTAAAACATAAAAGAAACCCGACTCAATTAGTCCTTTGTACAATTAGGAGTACCTTTGATTAAAAGATTGGAGTTTGATCAATGATCCGCTTATCTTCGATTGAAGTTGAAACATGAAGTAAAAATGGATGTTTTCATTTAGATCGAAAGATTCGATTTTGATCTCATTATCTCATTTATCCTTGACTAATATAGGAAGTAAAGATGCATGTGCATGATTGCAAGTCGAAAGTGGTAGTGAAAATGGATGGCTGATCTACACCATTATGATTTATGAGGATAGACAATATGGATTTGGAAAATGAAGTTAACAGATCATTTCATTTAGACAATTTATTCAAGAAAAAAATAGTACTTAAGAGGAAGTCTGAAACCTCAGAAAATCATAAGTTTGTTTTTCCTTCACTACTTCTACTTGATTAGTCCTTTGCTACTGTAATTCATCTTTTTGCTGCTTTTCAAAAGATTCCAGAATCAAAGAATCTTTCATCTTTTATTTGATAGGAACTGCAATTTTGCATGATGGGGTTGGATTTGGATGGATCATTAGATCAGTTAGAAAAGACACCATAGGCCAATTTAATTTTGTGATTTTAATCTTAAATAGATGATGATTGGTTGCAAATACATCGTATCGTTCAATTTTAAAAGAATCTTCTGCATGATTAATGTACGTTCAAACGATCCAAAAAACATAGAAAAATGCAGTGGCTTTCCCACGTCAACTC